GACGGGCGCTGCATGCGCGGCTGGGCGCCGGCCCGTGCACGGCCCCGGACAGGCGCCCTCGGGAAAGCGTGAAGTTCTGATCGCGGATCTTCGCATGCAGAGGTCCAGGGCGCCTGGTGCTGCCTCCTCTTCCAAGGCCTGCTTCGGCTCTGCAGGACGCCCGGGGCCTCAGACGCAGAGCTGGTGCTGCACTTACACCTCGATTATATTGACTGAGGGAGACTTCTTCTATGAGAGAAAAATCTGCTTTCAGGCCGTGCTTTGCCTCGCCCCTGGGCTGCAGCCCCCCGCAGAGCCCCAGGGCACCGGGACCAGCAGGCCCTCACTGCAGCGGAGCCCTCGGCCTCAGCATCTGCCTCGGGAGACCCAGGAGCTGATCCAGCCCCAGCCTCCGCCCTGCTGTGCTCCCAGGCAGGGTCAGGCAGCTCGTCGGCAGCGCCTGGTGCCCCCCTCCAGGCAGGTCCTGCCTCCCCAGGAAGCCTTTGTGCCCACCGCTGTGCCCCAGCACTCCTGGGCCAACCGGCTCCTCAGCCTCCAGCCCTCCACTGGCTTCTATCGGGTCGGCAGTGGTAGCCACGCTACACCCGGTGCCCTGGGACAGGAGGCAGGTGCAGGGACGGAGCAGAAGAGGCAACTCGGGGGTGGGTGGCTATGGCCACGGGGAGAGAACCCACGAGCAGGGGGTGACCAGAGCAGGGACGGGTGAGCCCAGCCGAGGGCCGGGCCCATCTCGCTGCCATGCCCCTGGAGCTGTCGGCGAGGGGGATTTCCTCGAGAACTGTTGCACAAACAGGCGCTTCATGCTACGAAGAGCGTGCTCACAGAGGATACAGCAGGTACGCGAGCTCAGAGAGGGTGCTGGGGAGGGAAGGGGTCCCAGCTGCCGCACTTGTGTGCTGTAGCGCAGCCCCGCGTGCAGAGCAGGGTGCAGACGCGTGTCCCCAGACCCCGCGGCATCCCAGGGCTGGGATGGCAGGGGCTGCACCCCCGGCTGCTGTTCACAGCTTGGCCCTGAGGCCAGGAGGGGAACTGGAGCTTTTTCTTTCCCAGACCCCGCTCCCAGCTTTGTAAGCAAGGACTGCAAGAATCAACCACGGTGCTGGCACCCTTGCAGGTGACAAGAGTAGGGTGGCTGCAGGAGGACAAACTGAGGTGTGCTGGGTGAACTCTGCAAGCAGCAGGACAGGCCTTTGCACCTGCCTTTGCACCTGTATGAGCAGGGTCAGGCTGTAGTAGGGATCCAAGAGGAGGGATCTTTTTGGCAACAAGTAACAAGAAGCTGAAAAATCTGCAAGAAGAGAACCGGGGACCTGAAGTCCAAACAGGAGGTTTCTGCACCTGACATCCACTGGAAACCAAGACGTGGAAGCAAAAGGCAGTCAGGCAACACAGTGAGTAGAGTTCCCACCGTTGCTAGAGGAGGCAGATGAGACACAAGGGAAAACCTGCTGCAAGGTCCTGTCAGAGCATGTGCATCAGGGTTATCAGTTACTGTCTTTGTCATGTGTCAGGCGCTGAGGGAACAGCCAGATGGAAGTACTGCCCCCTCCCCATCCACAGCCTGGCACAGCACCTCCGTCAGGGCGGGGAAGGGGCTCTGGGGTCCTTCCCACAGAGGACACGTGTCGCGATGGCCTGGAGCAGGCCCTGGTGAAGGCAGAGAATGAGCAGCAGTAGACTGCTGCAGGAACTATAAGAACATCTGCCCAGCTTGCCTGCCTCCTGCCTGAACAGGCAGGAGCTAGACCTGCCTCTGGGACGCAGGGGTGCAGCGTGGAGGGGCAGGGGCAGGGTGACAGGACGGGTACAGCGAGGGGCAGGTACCACCCTGCAGCGTGGGAGCCATCCCGGCTGACAGATCCTGCCCTCTCTTCCAACGTGCCTCCTGCTCTGGGGCACACACGCTGCCCCAGAGAGACCGGGGCTCACCACACCCTACACACTCTCAGTTTTGAGGGTGAGAGCATGAGCTGGGGTGCTTGTTTCTGGAGAGAGCCAGCATCTGTCCTGGCAGCAAGCCAGCAGACGTCCCAGGCCATCCCTCCCCACTCACCTTGCTCCGCAGCAGCCCTCCGCTCGGTCGCTCTGGCGTGCTGTGCTCCGAGGACGGCTTCGTCTTTTCCTTGTTGTTGTTGGAGTCGTTGTCCTTGATGATGTCATACTGTCTGCAGAAGAGGGCGATGACCGCTGCCAAAAGACAGGGGGTGAAGGACTCCCTCATGCTGGCTGACCCCGCCTGCCCTCCCTGCAGCGTCCCAGCTGGAGAGCCCCCGGGTGCTGGTCACCCACACCCTCCATTGTGTCAGCCCCGGCCGCCACAGGCACACATGGCCAGACCCGTCTCCTCAGGCCGATGAGGCACGTGTGTGGCTAAAGCCATCGGGGCCCATGCGAGGTGTGAGGTGCCTACGGCTCAGGGCTCTGGGGCCAATGGCGGGCATTGAGGTGCTCGACTGGCTCAAGCTCCTGCAGACTCAACTGACTTTCTGGAAAGGGTGCCAGACCCACACCAACATGCCTCTGCACTCTCTTGAGCCCCCTCCTCCTCAGGCACCCTGGGCTGCAGCTCTGCCTCAGCCTGCTGGAACGTCGCTTGTGGCACTCACCTGCCCACATGAGCAGCACAGCCACGATGATGATAATCTCGCCTGTCTGCAACTGCCTGTCTTTGTCCAGCCCCTCCATGGTGATGTCACCTGCAGAGAAGAGAACCCAGGCAGGGCTGGCAGCAGATACCCTCCCACCAGGTCCTGCTTCAGGACCAGCAGTGCCTGAGGATCTGAGAAGGAGCTCCAGGGCAGAGAGGCCCACCTCCCCCAAACAAGGACGGGTGTGGGATGACATCTTGGCTGGGGAGAGGACAAGCAGCCTGCGGCATCCTGCGGCAGGTAAATCATCCTCGGTACCAAAGGGATTCTAATGGCTTGTTTGGGTTCAAGCGGGGACTGCACAATGCATGGGATCAATCACTGTGGTTACTCTCTACGTAGGGACCAGACCCTGAGTTGGACACAAAAGTTCTGAGGAAAGTAAACCACCTGCTTGCCCTGCTGTATTCTTCTCAAGTCCCCCTCCTATGGCTAGTGCCAGGATCCCCTCTGGGCATCCGTCTCTCTTGGATCATCTCTCATGGACCAGCATGTAGGCAACCCCACGGCAAGAAGGCACAACATGGGTATGAGTAGGAAAGGAGACTGTGGGGCTCTGTCATTTGTCCTTTGGTAGCTGGTGGGCTGGGAGATCTGAGAGCCTGTTCAGTATCTCTCCTATGGGCAGCAGCTGAGCCAGCCACAGCAGTCCCGGCCACATCCCACTTACCTGAAAGGGGCACCAAGACCTGGGACAGGAGGGCACTAAACCAGAGCCTGGGGACATTACTGTGGCCATAGTGGACACAACAGCAGCCTGTGCAACCCCGTGGCCCGTTGTGACACTGTCCCAGGCAGCCTGCTGCTCGGGGCAGCACCTTCCTCGGTGGGTGCTGGCCCCCTGCCCACGTCTGGAAGGAGCTGCCTCACCTTGGTTGGAGCTGTTGGAAGGGAGGCGGTCCGTCTCCTTCAGGGTGCGGAAGTGGACACGCTTACTGGCCTGGCTTTCTCCGTACAGGCCGATGCTCTGCACCTGGATGATGTAGTCGGCGTCCTCCGCCAGGTCCCAGAGCACGCAGGCACGGTTGGTGGTGTTCACCTCCCGGATGAACCGCTGCATCTGCCCGTCCTGCCGCTGCCGGGGAGGAGAGGGAGAGGGAGAGGGAGAGGGAGAGGGAGAGGAGCCGTCATCCCCGGGGGCTGCTCCCAGCCGCTGGGCACTGGCCCCTGCCCGCCAGCCCACACTGGGCACAGCGCCCTTAACTCAAAGACCCAGAAGATCATCCAGACCAACCGTTAACCTAAACTAACTCCCTTCCCTGGCAGCCACCCACCGCGGGGGGGGCCAGGCTGGCCAGCACTTTGCAGTGCAGCATCCCTTTGTGGCCTGAGCGCCTCCCTGGGGCAGCCACCATCCCCTGGGGCTGCGGAGGTGGAAAACGCAAGCAAAGAAGGGGTATGTCAAGGCCGAAGCACCATCCTTATGCAGAGAAATCGCAGGGAAGCCACTGGAGGGATGGCCACCCCTGGCGTGGCCCGTGGCCTGCTGCCTCCCACCAGGATGGGTGGCTCGGGCAGGGCGCCCTGGCGAGGGCTGCTCAGCGCAGAGTGTCCTCGGGGGGAGCAGAGCAGCTCCAGGCTGCGGAGGAAGGACTGACACAGGAGCATGCCAGTGGTGGTGAGAGGGGTCCCCAGGGAACAGAGCCCGGATACCTGCTGCAGGATGGCATAGCCGATGACCACGTCTCCTTCTGGGACGTCCCAGGAGACTGTGGCAGAGTTTGCCTTCAGCTGTGTCACAGTCACGTTGACGGGGGACGGTGGCCTGTCTGGGTGAGCCAGGGATGGACCAAGGCAGGGCACAGGAAAGAGGCAAAAGAAGATGTCTCAGAAGAGGCAATGCCCCTGCACACCACCATGGGCAGCCTCTCCAACACCTGCCCGCGGCAGCCCACTGCCCAGGGCCACGGGGAGCCGCTTCTCGGGTGAACCTGCCCCAGGAGAGGAGCGGCACAGCCCGTGCACGCGGCTGAGCCCCTGCCAGCAGCAACACACGCATGGCACGGTGCCTCCTGGGCCGGTGCTGCCCGTGGTGGAGGGGTGCTGTGCAGGCAAAGGTGCTCCCTGCCTGCACAGATACCGCTCCGTGGCACCCGCTGCCTTTGGCAGCCTTGGCTCGCTGGCCAGGACTCCTCCCTGCTTGACTGTTGGTGAGAAACGTGCTCCCTGCACACCTCACCCTCTGCAGTGTCCTACAGCAGGGAGGGAGGACGAGCTCGCGAGGCACCTGACTGTCTCTGCTCTGAAGGGCCCCTTGCAATGGCAGACGTAGCCCCTTGCTCGCGGTACCTGTTCCCCACACAGGGGATTAGCGATGCTGACCACGTACCTGGGCTGCCAGATCCACCTAAAGACACAAAGGGCCCCCAGCGGGCTCCTTCCACCTTGCAGCCATCGAAATGGGAAGTGCATGGAGGCCTGTCCTGAGCAAAAAAGAGTTTAAGAGACCATCATGGCAATTTAACGAGTCCCTGCAGCTCAAAATCACTTGAAAAGAGAAGTGCCTGCAGCCTGGCTCAGGGCACTGCAGAGACCCTGCCAGCAGAGAGGGGAACAGCATTCACACCAGCTCTTCACGAGGGCAGCTGCTCGCAGACCTGAGGTGCCTTCACAGCTGCTCAGATGTTGGGAAGGTTCCTTCCTTCAGCTCCAGCACTATCAGCAGGGCTGCCTGTCATGATGAGCTCCTGCTCAGCCTGGGCATGGAGTAGATTCTTGGCAGGGAAGTCCCATGTTTCTGTAGGGTCCAGAAAGTCCAAACAAATCCTACATGAATGCAATTCTTCAACCAAGACTGTGACGATAAAATCAGGCTCCTCTAAGCTCTGGGGCTGCCCTGTGGATGTGCATATCACGAATGCCTGGCACACCACCCAGAACTGCGTAGGAAGCAGCCCAGACACGGTATTTATATATCAACTGTGACAGAAAAATGGGGCAGCTTGGAATAAACACACTATGCAATTCAATCTGGCCATCTCATCTGCCTGGCATTACTCCTTGCTCTAGAGTGGGGAGGCAAACCCAAAGCAGAAGGCAGAGCTGACTCTCCCAGCAGCGCAGTGCCATCGGCTGCAAAGCTGGCAGCAACACCACCCTCCAGAAAGCTGCCCTGACTGACCCATGGTCTGCACCATCACTGCTTTGAGATTTCACAGCACCAAGAGCGTGGCGGGATCCTGCACAGGTGCACAGACCTGCATGTAAAGCTAAATTTTGTCTGGAAATCAGACACGGGAGTGCATGAACGAAGCCTGCTGTTCATGTGTCCTCCCTCCCTGTAAACAAGACCATGTCCCACAAGCTGCTTGTGTAGCACAAGTTCAATGCTGTGATTTATACAGATAGAAAAAGAGCCCCAGAGGGCACCTGAAAGCAAAAAAAGAGAGAACCATAACACTGCCAACAGCCACAGCTGGAGCGGCAAGGAAAGGCAGGTCCTGCAGGTCAGCTCTATTTAAAGGTATTTGTTCCCATCTGAGTATCCCTGGCTCCAGATCAGACCAGGAAAGGGCTGTGATTCCCACTGGGAGGAATGGAGGGCTGTGGTCTGCTGTGGGCCATGACAACAGATGGGAGGGTCACCCACAGAGCCCAGAGGACAGACCAGGGCTGAGTGCGTCCCCAGCAGAACCTGCCGCGTCACCAGATCGAGTCACTGGAGACGGCACAAACAAGGACATCACAGGATGCTGCGTCTTCTCGTTCAGAACATGAGGCTGGAAAACTGGAAAGGATTCAAAGATGCACTCGAGCATCCTCTACCCCATGAAGAGTGTGTCTCCTTAGAGTTTTGCCAGTGGGAACCTGGTTCAGCACTCTCACCTCTGAGCTATGTCCTCACCTGCAGGCCCTGGTCTCCCACGAGCCAACAGCAAAACGGGCTGAACAAAGCTGCAGTCCCCAGACCCGGGCACTGCCAGGGCATGTCTGTCTGTGCGCGCGGGAGCTGAGCTCCCCACAGACGGGCCAGCGTGTGGCTGCACAAACGAACCACTTTGGTCTGAACCAGCCCACACGTGCCCAAACCACCCTGGGCATGGCTGAGGAGCTAGCACCAGCATGAGCCATTCCCAGCAGGCAGCACTGGTGTGCTCCCCTCTTTGGGACTGGTGAGCTTAGTGCTATGGGTGTGCCCTGACCCTGTCAGCTGGCCTCAGGGCAGGAACAGGACCTGGCACTTCACAGGATACATCCACAGGAATAAATTAGGCAGCTTCTTCCATCTAAGTAAATGAGAAGAGGTCAGAACATGCCCAAAGGTGGCAGTTGGACTGCCCAATCTTTAAGGGTATGTGAGGAAATTAAAGGCAGGGTCTGACATCTCTGCGATGCACAAGTCTGGATGGAGCTTGTAGCAGGCTCCCTGCTCTGCACAAGAATTTTCTAGACTTCTGCAGGGAGCCCAGCCTGGCCCAGCCCAGGTTTTCAGTCTGGGGATGCTGAGACATGGCCCTGGGGCTGAGTCACTCTGATTTGAGAACAAGGGCACTGTCCTGCTCCACCAGCCACGCTGCTGGGTCCACGCGGGGCTGACAGCAGTGACCTGCACTCAGCCAGCGCCCGCACAGGCCCCGCGCAGGGACCTGCGCTCCCAGGTAGCCGACGGGCGTCCCAGGGGCCACCCCAGCCTGGCATCAAACTGCAGAGAGGATGCTCAGAGCCAGCGCTCTGCTGCTACACCCAGAGCCGGGCCCCAAATGTCTCCAGTGGAGAGGGGTGAGGGCAAGGGGACACGGGGGCACAGGGGGGCCTCGGCATGTGGCTCGTTTGCGTTTCAGCCCTCACACACTGTAAACACCTTTGTGCAGGCTCCAGGCAAGCAGACCTGAGCCTGCGTGACAGTGAGATCTGAAGGTGTCCTGCCTGCATGGAGAAAGGGGTGTCCCTTGGTCAGTTTGCAGTTCAGCAAACTGCAGAGAAGACATTTCTGAGCACACGGGATTTGCACACCCAGCAGGAAGAGACTGGACAAGAAGTTTCCGAAGTCGAAACTAGAGAAGTTTACCCTAGAAACACGGAGCGATGTTTAATGCCAAGGATATGCAAGATGAGGCCTCACTGGAAGCCGTAACAACCAGACCTCCAAAGGGCAGCTCGCACCATAGAAAGCTTTGCACATGATCCCCGCGTTCAGCCCAACATTGTCCAGCCTGCCCTGCAGCCCAGGTCAGAGCAGTTTCATGCCAGCGCCGTTGCCATAAAGATCTGCGAGTGCAAGGGCTCCAAAGACGTACTCTCTGAAGCCAACTATTAAAAACATTCCTATCAAGCCAAGATGCTCCAACACCCTGCTGGGCTCTCTGGGGAAAGCATGCCACAGCTAAGCCCTGCCCAATGCATTAATCGCTAATGATTCTGCATCATTTATAAGTTATCCGGCTTCACTTTTGATTAAGCGATGAGCACCACCACAGGCAGAGCAGCCGCTTCAGGCCTGGCGCAGCCCTTGGTCCCGTCCGCGGGGCAGCCTGCGCAGAGCGGGGGAGCTGGACCCCTGTGCCGGGGCGCGGCGGTGGGACCG